AAACAAAATTCCATTCATTACCAACAATCTCCATTTCAAATAAAAAAATGTCTATGTCATTTCAGCTCAACCCCCAGGAATTCCCGAGATCTCGAAAAAGTCTCTGACCGCCTGTCCCTGCACCGGAGGTCTCGAGCTCTTCATCCTGGGGAAAAACTTCCTCAAGGACACTCGAATGGTCTTCCAACTGGACAACGAGGACCTCACCTCGTCCCTGGAGCCCCACTGGGAGTGTTCGGTGACCCCGGACAAAGAATTCCTCCAGCAAACGCACTTGGTCTGCGTGGTGCCCCCCTACAGAAGGCAGGATCTCGCACCATCTGAAAAAGTCTGCGTGAAGCTGTACGCCGTCTCCTCAGGGAAGACGAGTGAGCCCCACACCTTCTTCTACACCTCGATCTCCTCCCCCCCGGAGCCCTCGATCGGTAAGATCGAGGCGTCTTCGACGACCCTGGTCTCCCCGAGTGAATCCACCTCTCCCTCAGTGCCAATTCCCCCAATAGCTCCAAGCACAGCGATTTCCCCAGTCTCTGGGATTCCCTCGACCTTCCTCACCCCCCAGATCAGCAATCAACAGCAGTCGCCTCTTCAACAGTCCCAGGACGTCCTCAAGAGCGACCCAAGCCCTCCACCATCAGGAGCAACTCCCATTATGATGTGGGCAGCCCAGGCCAACAGTTGCACCTCCAACGACGTCATGATGCCACCCCCAAACCTCGTCTCCAATCCCTTAATGTCCAGAAGATCCTCCTCCAATCATCAGCTGATCCTCCCTGACAATTTGAAGTCAGAGATTCTTGACGACACATCGGAGAACAGCATGCTGTCTGACAACAGCCTCCAGGGGAACAACACACCACCTTCCAATGGCACCAGCACGAGTCCCCTCCATGCACTCGTCTCAGAGAACTCCAGGGAAGCCTCCCAACCAGGCCTGCTGCATCCAGCCCAGGAGGTGGGGCTTCTGGGGGTCGATCTCATTCATCATCAGCACTCGATGAGCCTCGCTGGGGGTTCCTTCCCCATTCACGAGGCCTCGCAAGTCAAAGTCCTCAGTCCTCATCATATTAATAAAGAGGCCTCGCCGATCTTGCCGCAGGAGGCGGCCACCCAGGGGACCAGTGTCGTCGACCTCAGGATGAAGCAGCATGAGTACGATACCCTGAACACGTTCACATCGACACCAGCTGACCAGGCCCTGCCGAACCAATCCAGCCAGTGTATTGCTAAGTATCTGAATCAAATCGAAACTTCGGTTACTCAGAGCAAGGAGCCAGAGGCGACGGAACCTGAGATGGGTGAGATATTCGATAAATATTATTTTTATTTCTATTATGTAACAAATTAAACACTGAAATTATATTGACAGGAATTAAAATTTCACAGCATCTTCTGATGTTTTTATTATTTATTTATTTTTATTTACTTTGATTATTTATTTAAAATGTAATGATGCTTGAATATTTTGATGTTTATGTTCATGCCCATAGTGATAGATCCAGTTAAAAGTTATGGGACATTGGAGAAATGAATATTGAGTTCTTGAAGTGTTATGTATCGTTGAAATCTCATGATCTTCGATAAATAATTAAGAATCACTAGAAGAAAAACCTATTCTATATTTATTGAAACGGTAAAAAAGAAGGCTAAAAAATTAATAAAATAGAATGAATGAAATTGAGCCATTAATTTTCCAGGCACCATGACGCAGCTGTGCACCGAGCCGACCTTCGCGGAAACAATGCAGCAGCGTGCAACGATAATTGCCAATGCTCGTCAGCAGTCTGAAGCAGCAACGATCCTAGCCAATCAAACAGCCAAGCTGGACGAGCTCGTCAATTCCGTGGTAGACTCCCACCAGACCCCGATGCAAACGACCCCCAGTCCACCAACGACTCTGATCCCCGAAGTGGAGGCCACCCGCACAAGCCCCCCAATTCCGGTGAAGACGATGCTGCTGGAGGCCCTGATGCCGACGCCGATGGTGACCTCGTCAGTTGCCCCAGTGACGCCTGCCCCTGAGCCCAGCCCCGAAGAAACCCTGCTGACGACCATCAACGCCCTCCACCCATCCATGGAGACACCAATAGTGACAGCAGCTGGAATGTCAAATGCCACAGTGGCAATAGCCTCTCACAATCCCCTCCAAGTCACCAGTGAGCCCCTCCCCCAGATTCAGACCCTGACACCCCAGGAAGTAGTTGTCCAGCAACAGGTCGAGCAGGTTTTTGCCGAGGCCCAGAAGCAGGTGGAGGAAGTGGTAGCCCAGGTCCAGCAGCAGGCAGCTAATACTGTTCACGAAGCACAGAATCAGGTGGTTCGACAGGTGGTTGAGTGCACTCAGGTGGTGCGCGAGGCCATGAAGCAGGTGCACGCTGCCAGGCATGTTCAGGCTGTTCCCCATGTTGAGGAGGTGGTGAAGCAGCAAACAGCCTCGGTGGTGAAACGAGCGGTCAAGGAGACCACTGAGGGGGTCGTCAAGCAGGTGCAGGTCGTGCAGAAGGCCATTGGACATGCACAGGCAGCGCAGGTGATGAAGCAAGCTGTGCAGAATGACATTGGGTCCATGCTGAATCAGCCGGCTGGATTCGTTGCTGAGGCCAGCTCGGCGCTGGCTAGTGGAGCTGCACAGGAGCCCAATCAACAGAGACTGACTAATGCCGCTGAGCAGGCCATTAGTAATGTTATTACTAATGCTACACAGGTGAGGGGGATTTTTTTGTGAATTATTTATGCAGCCTACATGAAGGATTATTAGTTGTTAATAATATAGAACTTTTAGGCTGAACAATTCTTTATATTTGAAGAATTTTTTATTTGATGTGAACAAAAATAATTAACAGTCAAATTTAGCTGTTCGATTAAATTCAAATAAATATAGTTTAATTTCATTTCATGTTTTTGAATGAAATAAAGCTCTTCTTTTTTTATTCATTTTAATCAATAAAAAATGTTTTCATTGTCAATGTTTCAGCCGTATGAAACAAATAATTTATTCATTCCAAATGAAGGATTATTACTTGTTAATAAATTGGATATTTTCGTCATCTAAATAATCTCTTCATTTCGATCAAGAAATCATTTCTTTATATTTGAGGAATTTTTAATTTCGCGTCAATAAAAACGATTAAAAATCAATTCTAGCTATTCCATCAAACTAATTTATTTCTTTTGAATAGTTCATTAGATTAAAATGAAAATTATTCAACTTCACTTCACGTTTTGTTTTCTCTGTACCTCAGGACATTATCAATAACCGACCAATAACAACAACAACTGCCCACGCAATTATCGCAACGAAAAATATCATGAACTCTGTGGCAACCCAGAGTGCACAGCTGATGAATAGCGCCATGGAGGGCATTCTGCCTCAGTCACCCTCCAATGCGCCAGCTATGGTGGAACAAGTCGCCAGGAAATCACCAGAAGCCATCCCAGTCCCTCCTACAATGCAGAATGGAGAGACACCAATGCAGGTGCAGGTGACAGCCACCAATGGACAGGTGGCTGGAGTCGTTAAGAAGCCTGAAGATGCTGGGGGAATGCTGCCTCAGGAGCTCACCTCCATGTCTGAGCACGATCTCCTCAGCTACATCAATCCCAGTTGCTTCGATCAGGGAACATTTCTCATGTAGATAAAGTGTAATTATTTTGTTTTCTGAATGAGATTCGATGGGTGAGGGACACTTGGGGGCCATCACCCCTGGTCCAATGCAATCGAAATTTGTTAGTTTGTAATTGATTGTATTAATTTTACGTGAATATGAGACATTTTGGGGGGTAAATCAAAATTTTCATTCAGGGAGTCGATTATTGATTAATGTCGCCCGCTTTGTGGAAATGCTTTATCTTTAAGTCGAGACGGGCGCGAGTTGATGAAAATAGCGCGACAAATTCTTATCACGTTTTTTAATCGTGTGAGTGATGATCATTTGAGGGGATTGGAGAGTTTATCAGCGTGCCAGGTGCCTTTGGAGGTGGGACAATGTTCCTTGAAATTAATTTTTTTTTTTTAAGTTGTTGAATTTTTTTAGAACACTTTTTCCAGAGAACAAATTCACAAACTCACGACTGGATATTCAAGAATTTTTAAAAATTGAGAACAATCTTTTGCGATTGGTGGGGAAATTCTAATGCAAAGTTTTGGGGAAAAGTATTTCCCAGGGACATGGGGGATGGAGTTACTGTGTCATAATGATGAGAATTAATAACTGAGTGGTTAATTATTATGCTAACAAGTACCTTAAGATTCTATGAATTATTGGTATAACTATTGACTTGATTTCATCACTAAAATCTTGAATGAATCATTATTATGTGTTTGACATTGTTTTTAAGATGAATTCGGTGATTAAGTGGAATAGAAAGATGAAGTTACTGGATATTGTTGGGGATGATAATGATTTTTGTCATGATTTCTCATTCAAGAATACCCAGGCATCTTGCTATTCCACTCAAACACTGAATTATGTTTTTTCTTATTTGTTTATTATTATTTTTAATTTGTTGTTAATTAATACTGATTATAAAGAAATATCATTGTGATTTATGTTGATGTTTTTTCAACGCCTAGTAACGAAAAATTGGAAAACGATAAATGCAACACAGAGATTATATTGTATGTCAATACAAATACGTTGAATGATGGGAGAAGAAATATATATTCATCAGTTGAATTGATTAAGAATCATTGGAATTATCGTCTATACATTTTTTTTACGTTTTATCCAAAGAGAGGAGGTGGTAAATTCGCACGTCTATGTAATTCATGAGAGCTTACTACTGTTATTCAATTTCGACATTCGGAAGAATGAAGTGATTCATACATTGGGAGGTTCAATGCAAAATAATAAAATGGAAAATGATAAAAATTCAGGAATTATTGAGTCAAGGGGGTTGTACACCCCATGAAAAATTTGGTGTACGTGTGCTGAGGGGGGAAATGAAATTGTCGTTTGAGGGGAAAAACTATATTTCTATAAAATATTTTTTGTATCTGTTATGAACGTCTAATAATCATTGTATGCAATAGAGGAAAATTTTTAAGGGAGCCTGATGATTTGAGGGCGAAAAACATAATCAAATTCTATTTGTATGCGGTAAATAAAGTCGTCGTTGGGTGGGATGAGGGGATGAGATGACAATTTCTAACTTTTGACGATTGACAAAAATTATCAAAAATGGAAAGCTAAATTGTGGAGTTATTATTTTTCAATTGACTGATGTCTGATGTGTGATATTTATTGAATGTTTATTTCCTCATTCCACTCGACACTCGTAATGATATTGTGTATAAATATCCGTGCCTGCAAATTTATGAAAATTGCCTAAATTAATTCGTGAATATGTAATGCATAAGATTTGATGATTAACAACGTCATTGGAAACTGCTATTTGTGTAATGCTCTGCGCACATCATTGAGTAATTAAGGAATGGAGGAATGCCTTGAAATATTGTCTCTTTCGTTATTAATGAGGAGTTGGAGTAAATGAGGAGCATGTATCAGGAGTTTATTCGTAATGACTTGAATAAATGTTTCACAGCCAGCGTTTTGGTATTCATTTCACCTGCTTCGACAAACTCCCCCCAAATGCATCAGGTCGTTGATTATTTTATCCAATACCGAAGAGGATTTCGACTTTTCCGGCGAATTGTGTTGAATCAAACTCCTCATTTTTCAATCCAAGTCAGGGCTTCACCGCGTACTTCACATCCTTTTCCAAGGACTCTCAAAGATCGCGTTACAAAATTGTATTAATTTATTGTATGCCACATGTAGCCTATCGGGCGTTTTGCCGTCATACATTAAATTTTAACAAATAAAAGTAGAGTAATTCCCTTCTTTAAACAAATATAAAAAGCTGGCCACCGCTGATAACAGTATTATTATTAATAATCCTAAATAAAAAACGATATGAAATAATGTTCCGATAGTTTCAATAAAAAATTGAGTGAGGAATGATTCGGAACACCCTATTATTTTTTATATTAGTATCATTTCATCACGACTTGTGCCACTCAGTTCTTTAGGAGCTTTACCATTCCTCTCGGACTGCCTCCTCCATTCCTCTTGGCATTATTCGGCTTACCCAATCGTTAAAAAATTGTATACATCTTCAAATTTGCCAGGATTTCGAAAAAACGATTAATTCAGTAATCGATCAAGTCATTTTTACTGAAGATATAAAAAATGGTGTCTGCATTCCCTCTTCATCAAGACTTAATCACCCACTTATCGTCCCTCCCCCTCGTCACCCTGTCCTCCTTCAGCAGCTTCTGCAGATGATGAAGAACGTTGACAGCAGCAGCTGGCCAGAGCTCCCTCGGCGTCTCCTGATAGATAAACCCGACGATCTCCATCTCGTCCAGTGGCTGCCCCTCACTCCCCCTCAGCACCTCAATTATCGCCTCCTCCCTCTTCCTCCTGTGCTCGATATAATACAGAATCTTCGGCGCAGGATTCTCCACGACTGGCCCATGTCCAGGGTAGATAACCGAATTTTTCAGGCCCAGGATTTTGCTCAGAGACGCCAGGTAATCCTTCAGATCCTCGAAAACAGCTGTTGTCTCTCCCAGGATGCAGTCCCCACTGAAGAGGACATTCTCCTCCTGGAGAACGAGACACGCGTGGTCCGTCGTGTGCCCCGGGGTGTGTTTCACAGTGAGTTTAGCCCCGTCGACTTCAAACGACTGCTCGTCTTTCAGGGAATTCACCTCGATGGGGTATTCCTCCGGGTGTTGATCCTCCGGGGATCGGGGCAGCTTCCAGACGAGTGGAGCCGGGTTCGATGAGGATTTTATCAGAGTCTGGACGTCCTTGGCACCTCCTATGTGGTCGTGGTGCCAGTGGGTGATTAGGAGGTGGGAAATTGTCGTGTTTTCCTCCTCCAGGACTGATTTTAGGAGCTTTGTGTACTCTGGGGATGTGTGCTCGTCCCCTGTGTCGATTAAAATTCGACTGAAAGCGAAGGAAATTATTCTAAATGTAACAGAATTAATAGTAAACTATTTATAATATTATCAATACGTTATATTATTAATATTATTATATTAATAATATAATAATATTAATATTATTATTATTATTAATATTATTATTATTATTATTAATATAATAATATTAATATTATTATACCACTCAGTTCACTGAAGCAGAATAATTCTAAATAACACAAAATGAAGACCTTCCTCGAGATGAAGATGACGATGCAGAATGTCCAGAACGAATATGACGTTGATGGGATCAAAGGCCACTGAAACGATTGCTTATTTACCTTTTACCAGTGCCAACGAGGTAGGTGTTGGTCCCTTGGAGTGTCATCACCCCAGGATTACATCCCAATATCCTGATGACTCGATTTGACAGCTTGGAGACCAGAGGAAGACTCGTGAGGGACATTGCGAATTCTTATCACTGCGTATCAGTTTGGCTAATCGTACCTAACCATAAATGACGCAGACGTCAGGAGATCAGTGCCATCCTGGCAATCTGTAGCACTTCACGAGCGACATGTCTTCCCACCCAACAATGCTCATCGTGCCATGATTATCGTCTGATTATCGTCTAAAAATCAGTAGAGAAGTGGTCAAGCGGTTTTAGTCAATTTAGTCTTTAGTTGAGTTTTCCGGAAATATTTCCGAATTTAAGGGAGATGGCGAAATTTTCATAATGACCTTTTTTGTAGAGCAAATTGAGGGCTACTAAAAAGGTTATGAGAAAAATTTCGCTGTCTCTCTTCGATTTCGAGATATTCATTAAAATCGACTTGAACTGTTTGACCACTTCGCTTCGGTTTGACCTTAAACCTCATTATATGGGATGATCAGTACCGGAGTGCCGAAGCGTCATATTGTTCAACATTATTCCTTCATTATGGATTTCTCTTAGAATGAATTATTTTAAGGGTAAATGTCAAAGATATTTTTTTACAGAATTAAATTTTTGAGAAAATGCCCTACGATCAGAATAATTAGCTAAATTTGAGATTATACATTAGTCAGAATGAAATTGAGATCTGTGAAAGATTAAATAATCACAAACTGTTCATTTATTTCAAAAAATAAAGAATTTATTGATTCATTACATTGTCCTCATTGTTACTGCATCAATAAAATTCGAATATCATGTCATTAAAATTGCAATTGCATAGGCCATTTCATCTCGACCTGATTCCGTTGACTATCAATATTTACACGATAATTGATACTTCTATCCACTGTCTCTGTTTCATGGACGTGTTCTTCCTATGATAAATTGTATTCACCTCCATTTCTACTCTCAGTTCACTGTTTGAAAATAAATAACAGAAGTTCGGTAGTTGACAGGAATGAAAACACACTTTGCCTCTTTCTTCGTGTATATGAGTCCTTAAAAAATCATTTTTATAAATATGAATATGAATATGTTGGATATAGTGATGTACGAAACCTCGAAGCTAATTGAGTCTTAATTGAACTGATTCCCTCGGAATATTCAGTAAATTATGCTTTGTTTCGTGAAATATTCCCTCGGGTTTTCATTCTATTCAACTAAAAAATAGCATTGGGATGCATTGTTGTTGGACATGAAGATTGAATGAAGAATATTAGAAACGTATATTTTCATTCTCAACTAACTCAATTTGATTCCATCAGTGACTAGGATTTCTCCAGTTTTCAGTATTTTTCCGAATAAAAAATATGAATCAAATATTTTATCTCCACGCAACAGCCCAATTGTCACTCTTCCCAGCTGATTCTCCCTGAGATGGGACCATCAGCCTGGGGGAAATTAATTCCCTCGAAGGCCCATTTATTTAGCCTTCACTGATCGCGATCGAAGATTCTTCTTGGTTGCCTGATCGACTTCTGGCAAGTCGTCATCCTCAGAGGCAGCTGACTTCTTGCCCTCCTTCTTCCTGGGCTTCTGCTGCTTGGGTTTGGCCTTGGACACCACTGGGCCCCCGTTCTCACGTGCTCGCTGGATCTGCCTCTTGCTGAACGCGTAGATGAGGTACGCCTGGAAGAGGGCGACAGCACCGAAGGCTGAGAATCTTATCGCTGGGATGTTGAAAATGCCTGCTGAGATGTCCAGGGTACTTTCCACTTGACTCAGACCGTAGACGTAGAAGAGGAGGGAGAAGAGGATTGTCGAGATTCTGGAGAAGATGTAGACAGCGTTTGCGATGCCAAAAGCCACTGGAAAATTACAAAAGTAGATAAATAATGACATTTTTTAATGGGACTATTTCAATGATTAATTAATAGCAATTAATTATTATATTCAATGTAATTGAAATAATCGTGACGAATTTCGAATGTTTCGAATCGTGAATTTTTTATTTTGACTATTTTCAGAAGATTAAGTCGCGATTATTCATTTCATTTATTGTTGAGGAATAAAATTCCCCAAACGAATGAATAATTACGTTTTAATTTTTTTAACGAGACTATTCAATTTCTCGTTAAAACTAGACGAGACTATTTCAATTATTAAGTAAAATAATCCTGACCGATTTTTGATCTCTCAATTATTTTGAAAAAATTAACTGGCACTTATTAATTTAATTTCCTGCCCAGAAAAAAAAATTGAATATAATCAACAAAATTAAAATGTTAATGTGCTTATTAAACACAAGAATTCTGAAATAATAATTTCAGTTATCACGAGCTCATTAATTAACAATCAAAAATGAAACTCACACTTTGTTGTTTGTTCCCTGCGATAGACAATATGAACAAGACGAGCGCCATGCTGCAGAGCATCTCCAATGAAGTGAAGAACCAGAAGAATAACGGTGATATGTTGGAAATTGAGGAGATACCCAGCCAAGGTGAAGACAAACCCAAGAGTGGCCTCGACGACGACCTTGGGGATGCTCTCCCTCTTGATCTTCTGGAAGTAGAGCTCAGGGTAGCAGTGAAGCCAGTAAGCCAGCTGTCCAACGAAGAAGAGTTTCAGGGAGAAGGACATGAGGCTGGGGTAGTTCACCCAGAGGGAGGGCATCTCCAGGAGCAGATTGTCTCTGATGATTATGTCGATCCCCCAGATGGCTGAGAGCACGTAGAACACGAGGAGTTGACTGGACTCGTTGAACTTAGCTAGCTTTATCTTGCTGAGATGCAGACGCTTCGAGAGCTTGTCCAGAATGTACTCCTGGATTACAGCGTGCATCACGATGGTGATGAGGAAGTAGAAGAAAACTGCACAGGCGTCCTTCCATCCTGTTGAGTATTTCTGGGGCTGCCAGGGGGCGTCTGGCTCCGCTGTCTCCGAGACGTTGTGGTGGAGGGCTATGAAGGTGTAGGCCCAGGGGGATGTCACCTAATTAAAATATTCCATGCAATTAATCCGAAAAATTCCACGGAATGAGAAAAGGTAAATCATTTGCATAAACAAAAAAATTAAATTCATTCATTCTATTCACAGCTTTAACATCTGCTGAGATGAAACAATTGGGATGAATCAACTCTCATTTTGAAGCTTGAAAAAGTATCTTGAAAATGCCACAACATTTTTGAAATTTCACTCTACCGATCTCAAGATATTTAAAATTGCAGATGAGTTGATTGTCATAATTATTTAGATCAGTTTTTGATGAATATCTTTGAATCTAAGGGAGATAGCAAAAATCATGTCAAGATCTTTTTTGTAGAGCGAGGGGAGAGCTGCAAAAAAGGTCCTCACGAAAAATTCGCTATCTCTCCTAGATTTCAAGATATTTCCAAAAAACTGAGAATGAGTAAAAATTCATTTCATTCTACGAATTCTCCACTGATTCGAAAGGCAGTTTGTTCTTTATTTGAACTTATCTCAGTATTTGGAATCTGTTGAAATTCTTTAACATGATCGAGGTCACGGTTATCTACAGATAATGACCTTTTCTGAGAGTCATGACATATGGTACCCATTGAGGACTCCAGAAGCGTTTTTACAAGACTTTCAACACTTGTAAATCTGATTCGTCGAATTGAATAATTATTAAATGATGCGACAGAGACGTGGAGACTCCCGTTCTCGGGGTAGAACTAATGATTTGATAATTAATTAGTGGAAATCACTCACCTGGACCATAAGCCCAACCACGAAAACCATCGCCACACACGACACGATGTCAGCATGATTCTGAATGATGAATTCATGACTGAGAATTGGGGGATTTTTATTCGACGTCTTTCTCCCCTTGATCGCAACCATCCTCAAGCCTCGATTGATTAATCTGAGGGGCGAATGATGCACGAGCCGGCACAGTTGATTGACACCAACGAGATACGAGTCGTAGTACAACACTTGCAGGGTCACACTGACGCCTTTGGCCAGTTACTGACACACATACGGGACCGACACGCCAACACTGGCCAATGTGGCGGCCCTCTGATTGCTCGTTGGCACCACGTGAGTCAAGTTACAGTCTAGGTGAGGGGGATTTCGTATTCTACTTTCTCTAGCTTTTTTCCTTTTTTGATTTTATATTTTCCATTTTTTTCTGCAATTTTTTAGGACTAAATGGACCAATAGTGGATATTTCTTCATTAGTTTTTATTACTTCCTATGAAACTTTTTCCTTCATTATTTTTTTCCATTCTATGTGATGAAATAATTATGAAATAAGAAATTGACGAAATAAGAAACTCTTTTTTCTTTTTCAAACTTGATTCAACTTCACCCCTGAAGAATGTGTCTCTCACACGAATGATGAATTACTTGAAATTTTTTTTGCCACTAACATCATTAAATATCGATAAGGATGAAATATTATAAAATAAATAACTGGATTAATAAATAATTCAACTAATAATTGTGGACAAATCAGAATAGGACATGCTTTATTCAACAATAAAGATTCATTATCATAAATCAACGGACATGATGGCTCTCCTCACCCCTCATTACCCCCGCAATTATCCTGAAAGAAAATTTGTTAAACGAAATAAATACCGTAGATGTAGTAATACTATTATTTTCGATGACTAAAGAGTATCATTGATCAACAATGAGCCAAAAATATATATTATCTCCTGGTAATTATTTCCATTATTTTTCGCACTTGTGATTTACATTACGTTCATGGCATTATCTCTATTTTATCATTCGAAACTATGAGAATTTCGTATTTATCTTTCGTGCAACGAGTCAATCGTCACGTCGGCATTGGCTAGTTGGCTAATATACGCAACTCGATGCAGTGTTTATGCTCATTTTAATTGTACGATTCGCGATAAGTCGATAATCATGATCTTCACGGAATAATTTATTTCTTCAACTTTTTCGTCTACACGAAGATAAAACTCTTATGATGTACATGAATTTATTAATTCGAAAACTTTCAACGGTTTTAAAAATTCAACACAACTATTTTGTAACAGTTCTATTGTCCTCGTAATTATTCAATTTCCAGAATGAGTAGAATAAAAATATCATCATTCACCCTTTGGCTTGTGGTTCACGATGCAGCAAAGTGTTTCACCCGAAAACTCTCGGCATCATTGAACTCTCCAAGCTGCTTCAACATTTAGGCAGGAATTCATCGTTTACCAACAGATTTTCCATCAATTACTTGCTCTCCTTAATTGAGGTAGACGAGTATATTCTCCAAGTAGCCCTTCAACAGGTTTCGAGTGAGAGTTTAATCAAACTTTTGGTGAACAGAAAGTTATAATCGAAGCTTTAATCCCTATGTCGCAGCCACAAGGCTGAAGTGTATTCCAGTGATGGTGTGATAAAACGTGAAAAGTTCATCCAGACTTTCATAAATTGTGCATTCGTCTCAGAAACAATTCATCATTACGAGTAATTTCCATAAGTAAGGACTGAAAAATGGACTGATTACGTTTTGTCACTCCCCAAGATATTTGATCATCAGCAATAAAATTAATCTTGTTCTCTTCTAAAAGGAAATCATAAAAATTGATACATGATTACCGTGATGCCCCATCTGAATACTGTGCATTATTAATTCACACGTACGAAAAAATTCCCTATTCAATTTTCTATTAGTTTTCGACCCATTGTTTTGAAGAATTCCATAGCTTGACTTTGCATTTTTTCTTCAATAGAAGTGTTCAGTGGAAATAATTCTATAGAAAAAATCAATAAAAGTCGATTTTTCTGCCCAACTTATTCTATTGAATTACCTAATTTTTTAATTTTTGTTTGATTTCTCGATTGAAAATGTTGTACAGAAAAATTGAATTTTATTGATATTTATTATAAAATAGTTTTTCTTGCGCATTTTCAATTGAAATAAAAAAAAGTGCAGTAAAGCTGCGGAATTCTTCAATAGAAGTTCAATAGAAATTCAATATAATTTTCTATCGAACTCCCAAGGTTTTTCACTGAAATTTCTTCGTGCGTGTTCCCCTACTCTGCGTCACACGAGCACTAAACCGACACAACAATCACCACAAATGACCGCTCCCCCAACAATTTATCAATTTAAACTAGAGGATCATCTTCGAGTTCCATTTCCTCGACTGTGATGTAGAGTCCCTCCTCCTCGTACGTGGATTCGTGCTTGGCGAGGACCTTCAGCAGAGGACGAAGCTTGATCCACCACTGGTACGTGGGGATCCGATGCTCGAAGTCAGTCACGTCGTTGAGCTCGCAGAAGGGAGTGTATCTGTACTGCCTCTTGATGATTCCCAGCATGACAGCGGTGTCAGGAGTGGTGGCCAGGGTCTTCCCCTCTGGGGTCGTGCACTTCTTCAGTTGATCGCTGAACCACTCGACAGCTTTAGCCCCCATTTTCGTCCCCAAGTTCCTGTCGAAGGGGGTGGGAGAGCCACCCTGCTGCATGTGCCCGATTATGTTGGATCTGCAGCTGAAGAGACCCTTTCCCTCCTCGCTGAACAATCTCTGCATGAAGTCAGTGTTGTAGTTTAAGTTGCAGTTCTCGTTTCGGAGGATTAATCCTCGCTGGACACCCTCGGACATCTTTGCGGCCATGGCGATGACATCTTGATTTAAATCCTTTTAGAAGAGAGAGAATAAATATAACGTCATGTAGAGAATTTTCGAACAATTGAATTGAATCATTAATTAATTAATTTATTCATTTCGTGATTTATTCATGCATTTATTTTATTGCACTTATAAATCAAGATAAGGATGATAAGAAAAATTAAATGAACTCGAATTCATTGAATTGTAAAAAAAAGAGTTTAAATGTCAGTGTAATTTTGTTTTTGTTCTAAATTGTCTTTTGTGAAATAAAATGAAGCAACATTTCTAGATTTCGTATTCGATAATATTTGTCGAGATGTGCGGGAATATGTTTTCAGGAGAAATTTATTCTGCAAAAGTTTCCTAGAATTTGTTATTTATTTTGTAATAAGAGTATTGCTGTATTTTGAAGTAAAAGACTTCCCAAAATTTTTTCAAACCTACCTTGATGTTGAATTTCTCCTCGAAGATGTAGGCAGCATCAGCACCACCAGCGAGGCCAGCAAGGGTCGCCAGATACCCGCAATATCCCCCCATCGTCTCAATAATGAAGACTCGTCTCTTCGTTCCCTGCGCTGACTGACGAATCCTGTCGCAAATTTCAGTGATTTCGTTGAGGGCTGTGTCGCAACCCAGTGAGAACTCAGTGCCAGGGACATTGTTGCTGATGGTCGCTGGGATCATAGCAATCGGGATCTTGAACTCTTCGTACTTCTCCCTGGCTGCTGTGAACGTCAGCCCGGTCTGGTACCCCTCGAAGCCTCCGATGATTAGAAGGGCTTGAATACCGAATTCCCTGAGTTTAGCTGCAATCTGGGGCAGTTGATCCTCCTTCGGGGGGGCTCGTTTCGTCCCCAGGTAGGCACCACCCTGGGCCACCCAGCCCGTCACTGAGGGCCAGTCCATCAGCTTTAGTTGACCTGCTGCAAGACCTGTCACTCCGTCACAAATTCCGTAGACCTTGTCCCCTCGGTAGATGCAGTTCCTCACGAATGAACGAACTGCTGCGTTCATTCCACAGGACGGGGAACCCACGTGCATCACTGCCAGGGTGTAGTGATCCTGAAGATTTCATCCGAGAAGAAACGAAAATTACGAATGAATTTTTTTGCAAAAAAGAAAATTTGATTTTTTTACTAGGCAAAAAAATTATCTCCTTGGAGATGATGAAGAAGTTTTGAGATTTTTTTTCTTACATTATTCCCAAGGTAATTCACAAAAAAAACAGAAGCTGTCTAAAATGATGTATTTATTGCTGCAATGGATTAAGGCAAGTTAATTTAGACAAAAAATAATAATTAGTGGAGTGGAGAAACGTAAAGAATGGAATATTGAATTTTTGTTGCTTGCGCATTTATCTGGGAATAAATGAATAAATAAATCAATATTTATAAACACGTAGAAAATAAACTTCTTCTTTTCCACATTCCACCACTCCACTACTGAATTAATTTAATTGCGTTCTTCCTTCTGAAAAAAAAATAAAAATAAGAATAACAAAAAAAATAACGTGCATGGCTAGTATTACGTGCAACAACCGAAAACGGGCGTTCATAGTGTTCACTTACTTGGCCACACATTGTGTATTGCTACGCAAAAAAGTGACATAGAATTATTCGAGATGTTACAATAATTAATGGGCTTTCGATGAGACCGCGAGTTAATTACCTTGGATAAAATGTGACCGTGGTGCTCCTGGGGCATGATGGAAACAGATATTCATTTTAGTATAATGGGAACTGATGATTTCAGTGTATAGCTGTATCTACATTAGTGTCTCAAACACTTTGGGACGGGGTAAAACCATAGAAACTAGAAACCAGTGGAATTGCACAGGGAACTAATGATTATTCTCTAACTCTCCTACGATTATTCATCTCTTCTACTCACTTTTCCATCTTGGGCTCCAATTGGCGCCTTCAGACGTGTCAGCATCTTGTATGTTTCCAAATTACGTGCAAACCCTCTGCAATTAAACAATTCATTCGATTAAAGATCCGTATTATCTAATAAAAAATTAATAAAGTCAATTAACAAAATAAAAAGTGAATAGATCTGTTCATGAAACGAATGATTAAAAAATAAAATGAAGAATGATTAAAATAACTGAATTAGAAATTAATGTTCTACGTACTTTCCACGAAGTTGAACAGCTAAATCCCAGTTTTTATCGGCCATCGCCTGAGCCACAGCCTTCGTACGCCTCACGCACTCCATGAGTGGCAACCTGACAGCCTGATTGCCGTCGAGGGTCACCACACACGCCTCAGTACCAGGTGTGGCCTCCATCAGAGCCATAACTGCCTCAGCACCCATTCTACATCCCAGGACTCTGTCGAAGGCCGAGGGATTTCCTCCCCTCTGGACGTGACCCAAAACCGTGATCCTCGTGTCCTGCTGTAACTTATCCACCACGACCTTGTGGACCTTCTCCGCAGTTATGGGGTCGCCGTTCCTGTCCACCGCACCCTCAGCCACAATAATGATGTTCAAACGTTGACCAGTCAATCGTTCCTGATTGAAATTCATTATTTAACTGTGGGGAAATTATTTTCGTTCTCCTCTGCCTCGAGGAATCCCTCCGCAAAAATAAGAAAAAAATCAAGAAGAGGCTGTTTTCGGTTTTTATTCTCGATATTTAGATACGTCAAACATGGAGATGAGAGACTAGACGAGGGAATTCTTAGTTTCGTTAATGAAAATAATCAATTTGATGAGTGGATTGATGATACGAGTCTATGTCGTTTTAATATTTGAGGGTGTCATCGGTATTTTCTTCAATCGTTCGAAAACAATTTCATTTTTTATGCTCTTTCATCGTTCTACCCCAAATTGATGACGAATGTTCATTAAAAATTAATAAAATGGGAGTTATTCTTACATTTTAACAGAATGAATCGTCAAATACTGATTTCATTCCCTCAAACCGTCGAGAAATAAGGAAAGAGCAATAATATTATTCTAGTCGAACATTTTGGAAATTCATGTGACATCCCCAAACATTCAATGATTTCATCTAAATAAAAAACAAACTGCACAAGCATGCCAATTACACGACGAAGCACGAGACAGCTTAAGGCCTTACTTGATTCTAAATCTTTCAACAATTTAAATAGACTCTTGCCTCCTGGAACTCTCAGAGAATGAGGATTTTTCTGTTCTCATTGAGAATTTAAAAAAAAAAAACGAAAAATCGAACCTGCAATAATTTTTTGCAGAGCTTGTTGGGCCAGTCTCCCTCGGGTGGCCACTCTGGGATGAAGACAAAGTCAGCCTCGGAGCACATAGCTGCCACTAGTGCCAGGTAGCTGGAATTTTATATTTGCATGCCTAATTTACACCTCTACTCCTTTCTGATTGATTGTTAATAGTATTTCCAGGGGATTTTGGTGGCTCTGAGGAATTCCCAGTCCACTGACTCGTGAATTGAGGAACTGATAATAATTAATGATGTTTTTTAATAACTTACTTCGATGATAATGAATTTAAAGGGTAGTTCACCCCCGTGAGCTTCAAAAATGATCTTTAGCTTACGCAAATGCTTACTCTAGCAGAATATACTTCTCAAAGGGTGATTGGTCACTCAGTCCTGATGAAAATAATACTGAACTCCATTTAAAAAGTTGTCAATTAAAATTGAACCACTTAATGTCGTTTTTATGAATAATTTTGGGATAAGTTTTAACATTCAAATCATTGAAACAATTTTTTTTCTCTTATATACTAATTTTCTGACGCTCATTATGCAGTTCGACTTAGAAATTCCATTTTCTTTTTGTGTCGTGGGTTTTTTTCCAATTTTCTAAATTTTTCTCAAACGTTGACCCTGTTTTCCAGGATTAAATGACCTGTAATCCCTTCAAATAATTTTTTTCCCCAAAATCAAAACCTTCATGAAACTATAAAGTTCCAAGTAAACGTGCCTGTCGCAAAGCCTCACAAACTCGAATTTCCCAGTCAAATCCAGGTGGATCTTCAGGAATAAACGCAAAACAAACGTCGGAGGACAGGCTCGTGGCTAACGCCAAGTACCTGAAATATCCGTCTCCTGAATAACCGCATGTTCATTATTCCACAAAAAAATCAAATCAGTAAACGGAACTCCAGTAATTAATTGGTCCATTCGATTAATCTATTCTAACAAAATAAAATAAAACAGTTGGGGGATTCATCAAGCATCGATGAGGGATGAAGTGCAGAAGGTACGACAAATGGTAAAATTTCTGCTCGTTAGTACGTCGGTTAGTGAATAATGTTGAAACAATAATGATGAGGGGGAGATAAACGAGTATACAGTAGAATTTTCAAGTAAAAATTGCTTGACATGCCTGCTCCAACTTTTTACATAGTTTATCGGGCCAATCGGCTGGGGGTGGACATTCTGGGAAGAATACGTAGTCCGCTTCGGCGGCTAATGCACCGACAATACCCAAGTACCTAAATTCGTTCAGTCAATTTTTTTAACGGTTGATCCATTTGAAACTCGTGTTTTTTTATTCTAAGTTTTAAAAATTTATTCTCCCTCCTTGATAATTTACTTCTCTTCATTTTTTAATCAAAAAATATCCAGAGTTAGGAAGACAATAAGTTGAATACTGTTATCCTTTTCCCCTGTCCCATGATCTTAATAAACTGAAGATAGTTTTGGCGTTGATGATCTACTGTGAAATGAAAACTCACCCGCAATGACGACCCATGACCTCCATGATGAATGTTCGTTGATGGGAGTAGGCAGTGCTGACGATTGCATCGATAGACTCGATGATACGATGCAGAGCAGAGTCTGTACCAATTGTCATGTCTGTTCCACAGAAGTCATTGTCGATTGAGCCCACCATGCCCACGATGTGAAGGTGCTTGTACTTCTCTGCTTGCTCAGCAGTTACATCGCCTAAAATGAAGACACATTTTTCAGAATGAAAATAAATTCAGCAATGACACACGACAATTTTTCGTTCTTCATTCTTCATGTTCTTTTGTTAAACAGGAAAATATGGACATTTTTACACTTTTACTCTTCATTCAATGTTCATAACTCAAGGGGAAACCCCATTGACTTATTGAGATTTTTAAAAATCATAAGGGCCCATTTTGCCCCACTCCCTTCAGTAATTAAATTATTAAGATGAGTAAATGTCGTTCACCTCCTTTAACGAGATCCTGAAGCAAACTTAGATACTCCTCCTTGAATAAATTGGCTCCAGTGAGAGATCCATCACCTCCAATCACCACCAGATTGCATATTCCCCTGGTGACTAGGTTCTTAGCTGCCTTCTTGCGGCCCTCGCGTTCCCTGAAGTCCGAGCAACGGGCTGAACCGATCACAGTGCCTCCTCTGTGGATGATGCAGGACACTGAGGACCAGGTCGCCTCGACAATGTGCTCTCCACCATCCACCATTCCCTGGTAACCCTCTTTTATGAAGAATACTTTGCAGCCTAGGTATATTCCCATTCTCACAACTGCACGAACTGCTGCATTCATACCTAAAATCCAGAGGAAATTATTTAATTATTTTTTATTTTATTTTATTTTATTTTATTTTATTTTATTTATTTTATTTATTTTATTTATTTTATTTATTTTATTTATTTTATTTATTTTATTTATTTTATTTATTTTATTTATCTTATTTATCTTATTTATTTTATTTATTTTATTTACATTTTATGTATTTAATAGTTGATACAACAAGAAAGAGTCGGTTTGTGTGTTAGTTTTGCTGAATGAGCATCGAGAAATTGAAGATAGTTTTTACAAGATTGAGTGCATGATGAGATATTTTTCAATTATTATTCTTGAAGAATGTCCAAGAATGTCCAATTTTTTATCAAGAAAAATCAAGAAATGTTTGAGAAAGATTTTTTTTTTGTTTTTGTTCTCATTTTCAGTGTTTTCTCACCCTGGGAGTCACCACCACTGGTGAACACAGCCAACCCCTTGCCCTTGTGGCTGCCGGGCTTGATGAATTTCGTCGCAGCTTGCTCCTCAGCCATGATACTCTTGTAAGTGTGGTCCGCCATGGTCTGCAATTCGGTTAAATAATAATTGGAATTTTTTGTTCAACTGACTTTGCCTGATCGACATGCCTCACTGGTCTGCTCTCTCGCCTCACGTCTACAGTGACACTTCATCATTAGTTACAGATTAAAAATTCATTTAATTGATGCCCAGGGAGGCAACCAGTCGAGAATTAATTGTTGTCATTGGCCTTTCATTTTTCGATTGTTCACTTGAATTGCATTCTTATTCGGTTTTTAGTTGACTACCAATTGTGCATTGTGGATTCAGTGTATCTAAAGTGGATAATGGAAGTAGGTCGATGGGGTGCATGTGGTCAAGACCGAGTCAATTCATGAAGTAAGTAACAATTTAAAACCATTTTTCAAAACTCTTCGTCGGGATCATTATATAAGCCACAAGATTTTAGAGAATTTGTGGAGTGAAATTTTGGGTCAAGGTTAATCCACGAATTGTACAAAGTAGAAAAAATTAGCAATTGCTAATTGTTTTTACTAACATGTTTTATGTTTTATTTCATCATCCAGAAATTAATTTTCGTTTGGGTCAGAAAAACTTTGAAAAAAATCGTTCGAAATGTTCATACTGAACAGTGAGTGATGCAATTTCCATGGGATGAAGGATCAGCCCCAAAAAAATAAAGTCTCAAATTTTGTGAGATAAAAATCACAGGAATTTCCTCTGCTTTAATTAACAATCAATCATTTTCGTTATTTATCTGGGTTCTTCGAATTTTATTATTTAGAACGGAGACAACTGCAAATTTTGAGATGCTCCACAAAACTCCGTGAAGTTACTAACAATTCAAAACCCCATTTCTCAAAACTTTCATTCATTCTCGATGGCTGACAATCGTAGAGTGAAATTTTGGGTCAAGGTTACTCCGTGAATTCCAGACAGTAGAAAAAAAATAGCAATTGCGAGCATGTTTATTTCACCGCCCAGAAATAGAATTTGTTTGTGTCAGAAAATATTTGAAAAAATCCTTTGAAATGTTCAAATTGAGTGACGCAATTTCAAGACAGAATGAAGAATCAGTTCCAAAAAAATTAAAACGTCTCAAATTTTATGAGAAAAAATCACAGAAATTCCTTTCACATCAATTAATAATCCATCAATTTTATCATTTATCTGTAGATTGTTTTGTTCAGAATTGAGGCAACTGGGAGTTTTGCCAAGCTTTATAAAAATCCCTCCCTAAATTACATCACCAATACAAAAAAAAAATGAACACGTCCGTCAATTGTCAGAACTGTTAATCCCTTCCTACTGTGTTATACTTGACACTGAACTAAATTCGGCCCTCGCTGCCAAGTTTAAAAAAGAACATTTTTGATAGTGCTCCAAAGTTCAAGTTAAAGTGATAACTAGCCCCTGAAAATGAAAATAATCACTGAAACAGCATCTAAAAAGGCCCCAGAAACCCCCCAAAATGCCCCGACCCCCGAAACAAATTCTAAAATCGAATCACCCAATTAATAATTAAAGGCCAATGACAGCGTGTACGAGCAATAAGAACGTGTCATAATCTCGCGAATAATCTAAACACTCACCGAACTCTCGGGTAATTGCCAAGACGAAGGGATGAGGACTCGACCTCGATGAGATAATTCCTCCCTCGAAAATCAGGAATCGTATTTCCGAGTGTTCAGGCGCTGTCAGAATTCACCTGCACGTCGTTGAGTCGTCTGAAGGTGACCTTACAATTTGTTCGTGTCTGACTGTGTCCACGGGGCTCCCCCAGCCCCTGCCCTCGCCGCAAGGCCAATTCATCCCTCCCAGAAGTTGAGGCTTTCGTTGAAGCCATCAGGTGGCATTATTTCGTCTAGTCCAGCTCTGAACCAGAGACTGATGACAATGAAGTAGAAAACTGTAGGATCTACTGAACAACCGGGAGAATCGAACATCGAAAATCGTCCGACTTGACTTTTTTTTTAATGGAAAGATCAATTGATAGAACTGTTTCCGAGTTGTGAATAAAAAAAATACAACTTCATGAAAAAATTAATGGAAACTGTGACTTTCAGTTCAATTATCCACTTTTAAAAAATAGTGTAACGTTTTTTGAAGCCTCTATTCCACTTATCAAGTAATGTAATATGATATCTATATATATTTTTTTATTCATCGTAATTTTTTTTACCGTACTTGTGAAAAAAGAGAAATTCATTTCTTAATGTAATAAAAAAAATCATGTTTTATACTGCAATGTTTTTTAAGTGTAAAAAAATACAGTTATGTAAAAAAATATATATATCATAGTATATATGTATACAGTCCATAATACATCCCTAAAAATAAAAAAGAACGCAAAAAGCAAGAGAGAAATGAAGAAGATGAAGAGGATTATGACGATTCCGAATAAATTATTCAATTAAATTCTCCTTGTGAAAAACTGTATTGAAACCATTCATTTTTCCTGCATTATTATTGAGACAAAAATTAATGAAAGTGAGAAACGGTAAGGTTTTACTATTCTGGCACCCATGGAAAAAAATACGCCGTCCTAGTTGCCGAAAAATTGATAGAAATCAGGAAAATTCTGTTAAAAATATTCTCCAATTTTTAATTAATTAAAAATTCAGCCAAGTTTGGGAATTTTTCTCTTCTTGCCTCTCAAAAAATTGGAATTTCATGGGATTTTCAACAAGAATTGAATTGTCTGCAAAACCAATCAACTTAACTGGCCTAATATTAATATTTTAAACATTACTTACCTTTCTCCACTCTCTCCAAATTAAATTGAAGACCTCTCCTTGCGATTCAACCAAAAAATAATAATTCTCCACATTGGATTTCTCCCCGTGCTTCCACATCAGCTATTCTACCAAACTATTTCGTCTACTCTATTGGAAAATAAAACATTGGGATCTTGACTTTCGCTCTTGGAAGTTTATTTACACAAGTTATCCCACATAGAGGGGAGGATTCTTCTCCTTTATTTCTTCTTTTACAGGAAAAAACGGAATGAATCTACTTAACGTCAATGTATTTACTCAACTTTTCTTCAGATTCATGTTTTCAAGAGGAAGGTCTACGCGTCGACTACAACTCTACTTCCGCTTGGGGATTCGATGCTCTAGGCGAAACCGAAAATTTTATACCATCGATTCGTGAAAAACCTCTCAAATCTGACAAACGAGATTTCAATCCCATGAAATCATCAATAATTTTGAGATCTACACAAAAAATTACTCCCGGAAGTCCCTCGTAACGCTCCAGACTCACGAAACGTCCAATCGTTATAATTTATTAATTCTCAATTGTCTACTCCTTAGCAAAAAATCCTGCACTACACGTATAAATTGTGCAAAAAACCTGGTAGCATTGTTTCGTTATTTCGTATTAATATCTCGCTTTTAGTCGTTTAGATAGGCCCTTCGTGTAGGAAAAGGCACGTACACATTTATCTACATACTTCGCAAATACGTAATGAATATTAATCATGGAGAAAGAAAAAATTTTTTTTTCCTTCAAAATATAACGAAATTACACTGAATACAATCAACTGTGAAATCATTTCGTCGATTACTGCAAATAACAATTTAACAACGCGATGGTTTTCTCGATGAAACTTCTTCCGAACTATTTTTCCTCCGTAGATGGAGAGAATAGAGAGACTCGTGGAAATTTCAAGAAATTTAATCAACTCCATTAATCTCATTTCTCAGAAAAAAATCAATGTCACTCGTCTCTCGTTCCCTCCACAACAGACTAGCGAATTAACTAATTATCTCATTGATTAATTAATTAATCGATTTATTAAACGATTAAGTAATCAATTCAACTTGCCACCATCTTACTGAATTCACTCTGAATTTCTATCATATTTTCAGACATTTTATCAGAATTTTTATTATTATTTCGTGTAAACGTTTATAATAATTATAATTTACAATTACGATGATTGATGATAAATACAAATAGAACAACGTAATTTTCGGGGGGAGGAGGAAGGGAGGGGGCGGGGGGTGAGATAAAAGAGGGAGATGTAATGGGAGGGACAAGAGGGCTTTTGAATGGAAAAAATGGGTACAGATGTTACTTTCTTCTCTCAATAATTTATCATTTCTCATTAATCATTAGCCGATAGATGAATTTTCCGTTGCTCTTTTGCGTTCCCTTCTCGCACATATTCTATCTATTCATTAATTAAATTCTTAATAAAAGTGCTGGATTATTTTTCATTTGCGAGGGATGACGGCGCAATTGTTAACAAGGAGTCAATAATCTCTCATTCATTATTTCGATTAATTTTCATTTGTTCAACAACTCCAAATCAATGTTCAAAGGTTGATAAATTGAAGTGAAAAATAATTTACCGATAGAAATAAATCCACTGAAGTGAAAATGAATTCGCAAAACTGAGGGGGAAATATTCTGGAAGAGCATGTGGAAAAAGAAGAGAATTCAGAAATGAAAATAACTGAATCAATGATTTAAAAGAATGGAAAAATAAATCGAAAACTTTCGCATTGTATAATTTCTCCTTGATCGACAGTTGTTCCTCTTGCTTGCGACAAACACCGATACATCGAAAAATATCAACACGACAGCGAAACGTTTATCCGAACGTATAATTACTCAGTAACGACTTGATTCATCATCCGTAATTTACATAAAAATGCATGAGGGAGAGAGCGCTTTGTTTAACAGCAACTACGCACATGTTAACGTTATTGTGCGTAACAAATACATTTTGTATTCGTTGAAGACAGGGTTGAGGATTTTTTCGAGTGATTGACGAATCTCCAGACAATTTTATCAATTGATTATTCAATAAAGTCTTTATCAACATGTTTGTAATCCCACAGCACTCGTTTAAAAAATGAAAAATACAAATGAGAAGAGATTGAAAACCAGATGAATAACGTTGAAATTTTTTTTTTTCATCAAGTGTAAACCACAGCCACACAGTTATCTCCTCATAATTTCATGATAATTATTATACCATTTTAACAATATGTAACACGAATTTACGTACAATTATTCCGGTATAAATATTCATGATTTAAATTCTACCGAATAGAAGAGGTGGGGAGCTAGTGGGCGAGGAACGGGGATTCATAAAAATGATGTAAGTACGACTTATTTTCACTGTCTTGCGTACGTTCAAATGACTCGGTGGAAGTCGAAGCTGTCGAATTGAAAAGACAGATGATATGATTATTCATTTATTAGATTTCTGAAGATAATTGGAGTGTCCTGATTTATCCGGGACTCGTAACGATATTGACTCTTGTCATGCTGATTCCAATTGACTACAGAATTCTTCTCTTTTATGGTCAATGATGGTGAAAACAAAAAAATTTGAGGGAGAAAAGGCAAAAGGAAGGAAAGCGAATGCGAGAGAAAAAGACGTGCCTCATTTACGAGATAAATTGTGAGCATTTTTTTTATATCAATCAATAATATTCTCCTGTTCTTATGTTATTTCATCAATTAATTATAAGTCGAATGGGAAAAAATTAAGTTACCACTTTTTGTCTTTTCGTTTTTATCTTCCAACTTAATAACTTAATTTTATATTATCAAACTCTCCTTTCTCCTCATGCGCTCTTTTCCTTTTTGTTTTGTTTAATAATATTTCGTATTCTCTAGACAAATGTGAAATTTAATTCAATGACAAACTGGGTATAATGTATTAAAGTTTGATGCGTTATTTTAAATCTTTCACTTTTTCTGGATTTTAAACTCATTATTTTTTCCTCTAAGTAAAATTCATTTCTCTTCAGTTATTGATTACTTTCCCCTCATTCGTCATCAAGTCCTCGTCTTCCTGTCCCATTTGAACTTCCAGGGGTGATTATTATTCCACAGAGACGAACACATCGTCGATAATTATCATTAAATATCCATTCATTCCATTCAATGTTGATTTGAAAAAAAAACAGTTCTTAATTTTTTCTTTTCGTCTTATTTATTTTCTCACGCTTTTACAAATAAAAAAAACTGTTCTCTTTCTCTCTCGCGCGCGTCAACCATTTCCAATTATTTTCTTTTGTAATTTTTTGGTGATTAATATCTGAACAGGGTCCATTTCATCGTCCCCTCCCAACTCAATCCACCTCTCATTCATTCATTTGTTCTCAATTAAAACTCCATGTCCTTTTTTCGAGCATTCGGTTGATCAAATTGAATAGTTACGTTAAATCGACCATAATCTTTCAGTTAAAATATTATCAATTGGATGATGACATCGTTTTTTGGTCCATTGGATTGCGTGCAGAGAGAGAGAACACGATTTATTCATTTCCATTAATTTCTTTTAATTATTAAATTTGTTTTCTTATCTCGTCGCACATTAATTTATTTCAAGGACACGACACGGCACGGCGGGGACATTTGCAACTCTTGAATTTTCTTTTTACCTTGAGTTTTATTAATTTATTTCATGGTTTTTCATTTTCTGCTGGTGGAAGTGTAGATGTGAATTACTTTCGCCCACTGGGAGAAGAACGAGGAAATGAAGTCGGAGAACAACGAGGAAATTCATTGATGGAGAATGAGACAGGGGGAATGATGGGGTGGGATTTATAATTTTCCTTGATTATCTGGAGAACAAAATATTTCGTAGATGGAGCGATGGGTGATATCGGGACATGTGGATTCTCGTGAGTTCTTTCTTTCTGTTTCTTGTTTTTTTTTTTCGAAGAAAAACGGGAGGGGAGAGAGTGGGGGAACGATAGAGAATAGGATGGTTGTTTTTTTTGTTTCTTATTAGGTTTAAGAAAGGGGGATTAGGACTTAATCTTAGGAGGGTTAGTTGTCGCCAGTCTCCTGT